GAGCGGCAGCAACGACGAGGACGGAAGCGACGGCGGCACCCCTCGCGCTGGGCCGACGCTGCGCGTCCTGAAGGAGGCGATGCACGCGGCGGCAGAGGCGTCGGCGGCGTCGGCGGCGTCGGCGGCGCTGCGGGAGAAGCTGCGCCTGCAGCAGCTGCGGCAGGGCGGCCTCGAGCAAGAAGTGGCGGCGCTGCGCTCGGGACTAGAGAGGCGCGTCCAGGGCCTCGAGCAGCACACCTCGCAGCGGGCGTGTGAGGTGGAGGGGCGGCTGCGCGGCGTGGAGGGGCGGCTGCGCGGCGTGGAGGCCGCGGCGCAGCGGCCAGACAGCGGCGGTGATGCGCTGCTGCTGCAGCAGCTGCAGGCGCGCGTGGCTCGGCTTGAGCGCAGGCAGGGGGCGATGCAGGGCCATGCTGTCACCGAACTTAGCGCGGCGACGGAGGGGCGCGGGAATGATGTCGCCGAACCGCCACTGCCGCACGTTTTCCGCAATCAACAAGAAGAAGAACGGCAAGATCAAGAGGCCCAGCGGCAACAAGAGCCGAAAAGTGACACTGTGAACAACGCCGCGCAAGAGAAGACGGCTACAAGGGGGGTTGCCGCCGTTGCTGCCGCCACCTCGCCGGCTGCCGCTGGCTCGCTGGATGCCCGCCGCCTTCGTCTGGACATCGACGCGCTTCGCCTGGACCTTGTCAGCTGCATTGTGGAGATTGAAAAGGTCATGGATCAGCAGCAGCGCCTGGGCTCCCGCGTGCACGGCTGCATGAGCGCCTTGCAGCAACACCAGACCGAAGTTTCGGGGCTCTCCGAACAGCAGAAAGCGTCGATTGAGTCCCACATGGCGCGACTTGAGAGGCAGCAGTCCGCAGCAACGGCGCGGCAGGAGAAACAGCTGGCCGCCGCGCTTGACGTGCTGCAGGCGAAAATTGTGTCGGAGGTGCGACGCGTGCATGAGCTGCGGGAGGACACTGTGGTGCGGGCCGACCAGCAACGACTCGGCGAGGTGGCCACGGCGCAGAAGCAGCTGCGGGACGAGCTGCGCATTGCCGTGGAGAGGCAGCATGAGGAGGTGAAGTTGGCGCTTGAGCAGATTTCAGAGACGGAGCGGCGGCTGGAGCGCGATGTGGTGTCGCAGCTGCAGACTGAGACGGCGCGGCAACTCGACGCCGCACGGCAGACGCAGGACGCCGCCACCGACGCAACGCAGCGGCTTGTGCAGGAGACCCAAGACGACCTCCGACGCATGCAGAATAGTTTGAAGGACGGCGCCGTGCTGACGCAAGAGCGCTTCCGGCGGCTTGAGGCATCACTGGAAACGCGACTCGCGGACGAGGCCCGCCGACTCAAGACGTTTACGAGCGACGCCACGCTGCGACTGCAGCGGCAGGTCGAGGACGAAGTGCGGCGCCTTGTGCACATCACGGAGCAGGAGTCCTTGGCGTCGATGCAGCAGGAGATGCAGCGCGTCGACGTCGCGGTGCGGGCTCTGGAGGAGGAACAGCGGGCCCTGCGTGAGGGGATGCTTGCCGTGACGGCGCCCTCCAGAACGCTGGCAAGCCTCGACCACCGCATGACTGTATTGCAGGAGGATGTGAGGGGTGCGTATGCCCAGCTGGAGCGTGTGCAGAGCGCCGGGTCTCTCGCACTGCCGCAGCAGTTGCTTGCCAGGCAGCAGAGAATACTGCAGGAAGACCTACTCGAGGTGAAGACTCGGCTGCGTCGCTGCGAGGCATGCTGCGGCGACGGCCACGCGGAGTCGCGGCACCCGGAGGTGAGCGCCTCGCATTCGTCCCGCGATAGGAGGTTTCCCCGCATCTCGGAGACGCCGCCGACCACGCCGAGGCTGGACGCCATGACGTCCGCGGCAGGCAAGCTGGGGCCGGCGGCCGGTGCTGACGCAGGGGCTGCGCAGGGCCTAGTTCTGCCTCGCCGGCTTAACCACAGCCGGCTGACCGACGGCACGCGGGACGGATGCTCCTCCGGTGCCGCGTCGTATGACCCCCTCGCTGGGGTTTTCGACTGAGCACCGCGGGTGGGGCAAGTTTGGCTGCCAAGACGCTTTCCGCCCCTGCGCTCCCGCGGGAACCATGCGCGGACGGCGATGTCCGTTATGCACGGAGGCGCTTTGAAGGAAAGGCGTCAGGTGTGCGGAGTATTGTAGACGTCGTAGTTTTTTTTCTTTGTTTTATATACATATATATATATATGTTCATCTGTTTGTGTGTATCATTGTGTATCATTATTTGTTTATCTGCCTCGTCACGCTCGCATTGCCAGCCCTCTGTGTGCCTGTGTGTGCGTGTGTGTCTGTCTGTGTGTGTGGCTCCTCAGTCGCGGTGGGACGCTTTTTTTTTTTTCGTTTTGTCTTTCCGCCCCACTTGGGGCTGCGTGCAACCAACCAACCCGCAGCGGGGCACTGTGGCGGGAAACACACACGTACGCGGGGTCACTCACACGCCTTCTCACGTGCACGGAGCGCCGGCCAAACCAAGCGACGGGAGAAAGTAAAGAGACTAATAATAATAATAATAATACGCAAAAGTTAGCTGCGAAGCGCGGCGGAAGCGGAACACCGCGAGGCGAGAAGAGGAAGAAGAAGCATAAAGATCCCCCCACCCCCTCCATCTCGCGATGCTGCGCCTGCGCTGCACCTTGGGAGCCTCCTTTCTGACGCTCCAGCGCGAGGCCCTCGTGCGCCGCCACGGCCGCTGCTCGATGCGGCCAGTGGGGTACGCCCTCCTCGTCCCCAACCGCGTGCTCCACCAGGCGGCGCCGCTCCTCTCCGCGTTGGCGACGCAGCGGCGGTGGGTGCGTGTCCGCGGGGATCGCGGCAGCGGCGAGAGTGGCGGCGGCGCCGAGGACGCGGGGAACGCAAAGGCCGCGGGTGGCGGGGGCGAGCAGGCGGAGCAGAAGGCCACGGGGTTTCGGGCCCATCTGCAGGGGCTAAGGGAGGACTACGTGCGCTTCCCCGACATCTACAATAGTGCCAACGCCCTCAACTTCATCCTCTTCACAGTCTTCTGTCTTTGTAGCACCGGCAGCAACGTGGAGGAAAAGTGGTGGCTGGATAACTGGGGCATTGACGCAGGCTTCGCGCCGCTTGCGTGGGGGCTGCACTCGCTTCTAATGAACAACTTCCTCTCCATGACGTTCGCCATGATGCTTCTGCACACCATGTGTCACAGCGTGCTGCCAACGCTAGGCTCACGCGGTCTCATGATATACTGCGCCGCAACGGCCGTGGCCTCTGGGTTTCTCATGTGGACGTACAACTACCTGACGAACAACACGACGGAGAAGCAATTCGGCCCGTGGGACATTGTGGCGGCGTTGTTTGTGATGCAGTACCTGCACCAAGGATTCTCGCCGGTGTGCATTCTCAACAGCTTCAACGGCTGGGTGCGCTACGCCTGCTGGGTGGGGGCCGTCTGCATTTTGTACTTTGACTGGCAGCCGACGGCGGCGGGCACGCTGGTCGGCCTGGCACTCTGCAAAGGGCACCCCAAGTTTCGCGTGACCGGCCCTGTTAGCTGAGCGCCGCGCTCCATTTTTTTTTTTTGCTTTTCGCTATTACTACTGTTAGTTTCTCAGTCGGGTGAGGCACGCGCGGAGAGAGAGAGAGAGAGGGCGGAGGCACATTTGCATACATTTTGTATATAAACAAAACTCGAAGGCAAAAGGGAGGGGGGACGTGCGCGGTGGCTGCCTCCCCCTCCCCCTCCCCCCTCCAGTCCGGCGTGTGGGAGGAGGCGGCAGCCCGTGCCACGGCGGAGAAGCGAAGAAGGAGGAGGTTAGGGGGAAAAAAAAAGAGCATCAATAACAATAAAACAAAAAGAGAGTGACGAAGCGAGAGAGGCAAAAGCGGCAAAAGCGACAACACCTCCGTGTGGGGGGGGGGAAGGAGGAGGTGAAACGCAAAGGGAAGGAGGGGTAAAGCAACGGACGGGCGGCAAGAGGCGCGGAGGGAGAGGGAGGGCTGTTTTGCCTGCTGCCTTGAGATGGAATGAGAAAACGAAAAAAAAAAGAAATTAAGAGATGTCATTGCGGCGTGCCCTTCTTCTTCTTGTGTGGGGCCCGGTGCGCAGTGCGGCGAGGGGTTGGGCCGTCGCGTTGTCTCCGGCAGCCTTGGCCGCATGCATGTGCACGTACACCCTCGATTGCATGTCTCTGTGCGCCTGCGCCCGCCGCGTGTCTAGGAGTTGTGTGCTGGCCGGGAACTTGCGCTTTCGCCGCTCCTGCCTCTACCTTTACTGCGAGAACTACCTAAGTTAACGTAACACTACGGAAGTAAGGAAAGAAGGCAATTGGCGTGCCTGCATGCGTAGGATTGCCTTCCTCTCTGACGTCACCTCTGTGTGTGTGCGTGCGTGTGTGTGTGTGTGTGTGTGTGTCTGTCCCTTCCGCTGCGCGCGTGGATGCCTGCGTCGTGTTGAGAACACTTTGGTTGAAGAACACCCTTCCTTCTTCGCTTTCTCCCTCCCTTTCTCTATTTCTCTCTCTCTGTCTCGCTTGTGATGGTTTGGGCGGCACCGCAGTGAGTGTTTCCTCCCGCTCTTCACCCTCATCGCAGCGGCGGTGCCTGGCGCGCGGAGCCGTGGAAGGGAAGGAGGCGGCGAAGCCAAAGGGGGGACAGGCATGATCACAGAGGAGTTGTTTTCTGCGTTTGTGCAGCAGGCCTGGTGCGACCTCGCGGCGCCGCGGGCGGAGACCCAACTGCACGGCAACGGCGACCCCGCGCAGCGGCCGCGGCAACAGCAACCCCCGCGGCGCTGCGGCGCCCCATCGATGTTGGACCGCGCCGCCCCCACCGCGTCCGCGCGCTCGCCGCTGGATCACCCGGACCTGCTCATGGCGTACTACAACGCGAGCCGCAACGCCCTGCTGCGGTACCACTGCGACGTGCCATTTCTGCAGCCGCGCGCGACCTACCCGCTGCACCAGCGTGTCTCACCTGCGTTTGTGGGTCAGCCAAGCATGCGGCCGCCGCGACACCACGCGCGCAGCCACGCTCGCAGCCACGCGCCCACGGCTAGCAACCGAAACTCCTCCGCCTACGCGCACGGACGCCACGAAGGTGAGGCGCCGTCGCCGCCCACCGATGCGAGCTACCGCGTGGGGCGCCACACGGAGCTGCGTGGGCCGACGGTGATGCCAAACACCGTGGCGGAGCCGTCGCGCAGCAGCTGGGGGGCATTCACGGAGGACGACGACATGCTTCCAGAGGAGGGGCGCCCCTCGTGGTCTCCTCGGCAAATGCGCTACCGTCTTGCCTCCGGGAGCAGTGCCGGTTACCCACGTGAAAGCTCCGGGGTCCCGGTTGACGCGTTGAACTACGGCTGCTTTAGCGACGACGACGACGACGACAACGACGACGGCGACGGCGAGGAGTTGGTGGGGCGGCCAACCGTGCGGCTGGGCCCTCCGCGCGGGGACTGACACGAGGCGGTGGCGTCGTGCAGCGGCTCCTCCTCGTCGAATCCGCCTGCCACCGTGCAGTTTCATCCGCCTCCGCGTGAGGAGGGCGCAGCAAAAGCCGCCGCGCCAGCAGTGAGGAGCGAGAACCCGAGTGTGGGGCGCGTGTGTGTGGCGGGAGGCGGAGGCGGGTGAGGCCCATGCGGGCAGTTCCCACGACGCGCAGGCCGCAGGGAACTGGGTGAGGTAAACCGCCAAGTTAGATATATATCTCTCTCTATCGGTTGTGCGCATTGTATGGGTTCGCCGGATTGAACCTCCCCACTCTTTATTGTTTTCCTGCGTGTGTAGTGGGCGGGGTTTCTGGACCTTTTTGCTCTACTCCTTCTCCTCCTCCTCCTCCTGCTGTTGCCTGGCAACGCCGCGTTGGCGCCGACACTGTTGCCTCCCCGCTTGCGCCTTGTAGGAAGGAGGGCGGGGCTTGCAACGCCACACCGGCCAGCCGCTCCTCCCCCTCTCTCTCTGAGCCGCGTGCAGGTGCGTCGCCGGTGCGTGTTTCTGTGTGTGTGTGTGTGTGTGTGTGTGGAGGCAATGGGGGAGGCAACGCACAGCCAGCTGCCGCAGCACGCAGCTGCGCCCGGCCGCACCACCGCGCGCAAACGGCAACGGGGCGGCGGTGACGGGGGGCGAGGCGAGAGCGACGGCAGCGACGGCGGCCAACCCTCCTGCCCCTCCTCTTCGCTCGCCGCAGACCACGCGGGTGCGGGGGACATGCCGCCGCGCAGCCCGGGGGCGCACAGGGGCTTTGCAGACGCGGTGGCGCACGCGCCGGCTTTCTCTGCCCTGTCAGACGCGACTGCTGCGGGCACCGCGGCCGACAGCGAGGGGGGGTCGTTCTTTCTTGTTCACATCAATGAGAGGCCCTCGCGTGTGGCCGCTCGCACGCCGTACGTCAATCCTCGAAAGCTCTTCGGCCGCGAGGGGGTTCTGTTGCAGGACGTCACCGTGCGCCGCCACCCGCTTCTGCTGCTGCCGTGCCCGCACACAGGCAACGTCACGGTGCATCCACGCCACCGCTACCGGCTGATGAAGTTCGTCGGGGAGCACCTCTGCCTCGCGGGGGACTTCCACCCCGTGTCGGATGAGGAGTGCCGGCAGCGCAGGGAGGACTCCTCAGCCAGCGCCCGACGACGGCGGCAGCGGCGGGAGGCGTGGGCCGCGAGCGAATTGATGGGCATGATGGCGTACCTGCAGTCGCACCCGCAGAGCACACCGGAGGACTTTGGGGCCCTTCCACCGGAGCAGGCGGCATGGTACCACTCGCGCGGGAGGGCGGCGCTACTTGGGCCGGGCGCACACAACGAGCATGCGAGCGACGACGATGACGAGGCGGAGCTTAACAGCGAGGAGGACCTTGCTGGACTAAGCGGCAGTGACGGAGACCCGGAGCCGAAGCGTGTGCGAAGGTAAATTGACGCGTATGCCCGAGGCGCGGAGGCAGTTGGCAGCGGCAACGACCACAAGGGCCACGCAGCGAAGCACCGAAGCGAACGGATTGTGTGTGTGTGTGTTGGAGGGGCGCAAGAGAAAAGTGAATGAGGCGGCAAGAACAGACTTGAGCATATGTTTGTTTGTTTGTTTTTTGTTTGTTCTGGTGTTCTTTCCCGTTCGGTTGTCCCTCGCGGCGTCTCTGGCCTGCTGCTGCTGCTTTACCCCTCGCCTCTTTGTCTGCCTGCCTCTGCGGCTGCTCGGTAGCGTCGAATGACGGCCCCACCCCCGCCGCCGCCGCCGCACTACCACACCGCCGTGGCGGTGAAAACAAACTACGTGGTCGAGCACGCCGCCCCATCGGCGGTGTGTCTCGTGCGCAAGATCCAGACCTCGCCGTACCAGCCCCTGCCCGCGGAGCAGGTGCAGTCCGTGACGCTGCCGAACCTGCTTTCCCTGCGTCCCCCGCCGCACGTGGCGCACCAGGCGCTGATGGACTTCTACTTCGCGATGAACGGTCACTGCGGCATCGACTGCTCCGACCCCTCCTCGCTGGACCTCATCACGGTTGCCGTGCACGCACGCAACGCCGCGGGGGGCGCGGGCAGCCACGCCGAGGCCCATGCGATGGACGCCTCTCGGCCTCGCACTGGTGCCGCCCCGCCGTGCTATCACGCGGCGGCTCCCGCGCCCGCGGCCCCGCTGGCGTCGTCCGCGTCTGGCACGGATGGGAAGCATGGCGGTATGCCGCTTGCGCCAAACGAAGCGTCGTCTGTGATGGACGACGGCGTGTACTCCCACACCCACCAGGCGCAACAGCAACAGCTGCCACCGCCGCCGCCACCGCCGCCGCGAGCCCACGCAGCGCCGTCCGTTTTGGGTACGCCGGTACTTCCCCCCACCTTTACGCCCTCCTCGTCGGAGGACTATCGGCTGTCGCAGATACGACGTAACGAGCGTCACGTGAACAATGCGTTGTACGGCAAGGTATGCGCCTTTTTTAATACGCGGGAGGGGTGCAGGCGCGGGCCCTACTGCAACTTCCTCCACATTGGCAAAGGAGGCGGAACCGGCGGCGGAGCTGCGCCTCCGCAATTTCATTGATCCACCGCACAAAAAGGAAAAGAAGCGAAGGGTAAGCCGGCGAACAGAAATGACGAGGGGCGGAGGTGTCCGAGAGAGAAGTTGTGTGCGAGGTGTGTCCCGATGAGCCTGTATTCGCATAGGTGTGTGCGTGTGAAGTGAAGTGAAGAGAAACGAGGGAAAAGGAAAAAAGAAAACTGGTGGCTGCTGAGGCGGTGCTGCAAGAATGCAGGGACAAAGCTCCACCCCCCTACGGTTGTTGATTTATTTATTCTCGTCTCTTCTCTTATCGGGTGTGTGTTTGTGTTTTTTTTTTAAACCGCAGGCATGTCTCTGGCAACCGACGGCGCGGCCACGCTGTCCTTGGTTTCCATTCACGCCTTCCCTCTACCGAAGGGGAGTGAGCTGTTGACGCGCAGCAAGGACAACTGCCATGCCGCCTTTTGGTCTTTTCTTGCGGGTGCCTTAACAGGCGGCATTGAGGCGGTCGTCACGTACCCCATCGAGTACGTGAAGACGCATCTGCAGCTTCAGAAACTCTTTCATTTGCCCACCGCGTCGCCGTCGCCGCACGTATACAATGGCGTCTGGGACTGTGTGAGGAAGACTGTGCAGCAGCACAGCCCGCTTGGCCTGTATCGGGGCTTCTTGCCCGTGCTCTTGGGCTCCATCCCGAAGCAGGCCTCCCGCTGGGGCGCGTACGAGTGGGCCACGGACACCGCCAAGACCCTCGCAAGCACCGGCGGCGTACGCGGCGAGGAGCCACAGGCGCTCAGTCTTCCTGTCGTGAGCGCCTGCGGCTTCTTCGCGGGGTGCGTGGAGGCGGTGTGCGCCGTGGGCCCCGCCGAGTGCGTGAAGACGCGCATGATCCACGACTCCAAACAACCGTTTCCGCGCTACCTGCCTCTTGGCACCTGCCGCGCCGTGCGCCTGATGGTGCAGGAGCGCGGTATCGGTCACACGTTTTACAGCGGCGTGAGCGCGACGATGCTGAAGCAGGGGATGAACCAGGCCCTGCGCTTCCCCGCACAAAAGTTTGTCATGGATGCCTTCTGCAGCGAGGCCTGCATTGCCGCGCCGCACCACGGCGAAAGCGGCTGGGGCGTAGCGCGGATGACGCAGCTGCAAGAGGCACGGCGAAGGAATCCGCTGTGGAATGGGCTCGCCGGCTTTGTTGCTGGCGTGGCTTCCGTCGTGATCACGCAACCCGTGGACGTCGTCAAGACACACATGCAGTCCGGCGTGGCACATAACGCCGCCGTCAACAACACCAGCAGCAGCGGCGGCGGCGGCTTCAGAACTGCACTGGGGGGCGCAGCTGCGACGGTGACCCCGACCGGGCACGCGTCGCCGCAGAGAATGGGCTTTGGGCGCTGCTTCCGCGACATTTATCGCCGGCGGGGGATTGCCGGCTTCTATACGGGCACCATCGCACGGAGTGTGCACGTGGGCACTCATGTGGCTCTCACCTTTACCGTATTTCCTGTCGTCCGGCGCGCCGCTCTCGGTAGTGCTGGCCATAAGAAAGAATAGTTACCCTTGCAAGCAGGTTTATCAGTGCGTGTGCTTATATATATAGAGAGAGAGAACGGGAGAGGAGTACAGGGAATGAGCTAGTGCTAACAATAAAAGGTGTAAGTTGTTTTTTTTTTCGTTTTTTTGTCTGTGCGATTATATATATATATATATATTTATATTTGTTTTATTATATATATATATATGTATGTATGTATTTGTGGCCTTTTTTTTCCCCCTTCTTTTACTTATTGCTGGGCCTTTCTTCGGTTTAACGTCTGTTTTGCGTGTGCGTGTGTGTCTGTTTTGCGTGTGCGTGTGTGCCTGTTTGTGTGTGATCGGCGGCATCTCTCGGCTCCTCGTCTTTTTTCTCCCTGCCTCTGGGGGGTGCGTGCGCGGTAACGCTAGAGAAAGAGAGAGCGCGCGCGACAGTTGTTTAGCGGTGACGGTTACCCGGGCAGCGAGGCAAACGGAGACGGAGGGCGGTGGACGAAGACAGACACGCCAGGCAGTGCGTTGAGACGCGGTAGGCAAACCAAACAAGCAAAC